ACTTTCAGAAGTTTGAATTCTGAATATGAGCGGACTTTTCCTTTAAAAGCCCATCTACAGACTGACCTCATCCCATTGAAATATTCCCATTCTGATGGCATTTCATCTTTCATTTCATCTTTTTGAACTTTACATCAGTGGACCAAGATTAAAACCTAGTCAGTGAAGGCATCATGCAGCCAGAAAGGTTCGATTTTCTGAACATTTTCCCATAAACCCAACTACAAGGACCAGCATGTACCCGCCTGGTTTAACAGGAGCCACACTGGAAAATAGTAGCCTTAAAGATTAGAGAGAAGAACTGACATGGAAACCTGCTGGAACACCATGATGGCTTCTGATATGGCAGCAAAGCTGGACCAGGATGAGCTCTGAGAGAGAAAACTTAGTGCTGCTCTTCTTCTTCTTCTTCTTCTTCTTGTGAGGTTTTTATAGCGGTTGGCAAACTAGTTAAAAGTTCTTTACCGCCACCAACTGATGAACATTAAACAGGAAACAGGAAACAAAACTCACCCCCAGAAATAATAAAGAAAAAATATAAAATGAATATTTTTCCAAACTGCTAAACTTAACCCAACATAATTAATACTTAATCACATTCGTCCTCATAATTTCTAATTTATCTTTAAGTCACTCTGCCAGTTTCTGATGGTCCTACTGGTTTTCCCATCATGCTTTCAACAGTTTCCCAGTTTAAATCTCTCTCTTCCCGATACTTTTCTGCAGCTTTCACTATTATTTTGATTTTTGTCATTCAAAATAATGATTCAAATGAAAATTACTCTATCATTTATTAAACAGTATGTAATAATTTCATATTTAAAGAACTTTCAGAGGTTTGAATTCTGAATATGACCAGTTTTCGCTGCTGACTTCCTCTCCAGTCTCACGTCTTTCTGCAGCTTTTATCAGGTTTTTTCTTCCACCTTTATCTGCAAGAAAACCTGATTAATAAGAAGGAGAAAACATCTCATGCACGCTCTGTTTACAAGTTGCTGTTTGCATCGCTCCTACAATCTTACTTTCCAAAAGATTAGCAATGTTCCCACTACATCAGGACGTAGGACAGCCTTACATAAACACATCACCAGAATGATTGACAGCTAGGAGGTCCACTAATTTTGATTATCTACCTGGAAAAAGAACATCCTCCACTTTGCCTTTAAGTGGGACATAATCAGCCCACTTTTCAACAACTATTTCTGGACTTAATAAAGACTACGATGGACCGAGCAGGATCTCCATTCTATGAGATTCTCCTGCCGGATTCATTGTCTGCATTTCTTCTTAAATCTCTTGGCTGTTTTTCCCTGCCTGTATGGTCAGGTGTCTGGCAGGTGGGCAGCCATGCCTTCCTGTTCTAAAGGCTGTCCAATGCTTGAAATATTAATAATACTGTACCTATGAGACATTCTGTCTTTGTAGTCTCATTTTCATGTACCATGGACAGAGGTAGGTATGTCAGTTCCCTGCAAATAAGATCTTTTTGTTTTGTAGAATCATTACAAATGTATTCATGTAAATGAAATTCAGAAAGCTATATGAAGAACAACTGACTTTGGGTTTTGGATATTCCTTTTTTCTTTTGTCCAGGTCTCCACCCAGGCCCAGTCCAGGCAGTCTCCACTATTCAGACGAGGATGTGAGCACCAAATACAATGACTTGATCCCTGCAGAAAGCACAAACCTGACTGAGAAACCCTCAGAAATCTCTGACTCACAGGTGCAGTGCTGCCACTTCCTTTATCCCACATCCTCTCTCATCTCTTTCCTGTCTGCATACAGTAGCAGGTGTTTCATTTGTGTGTGTGTCTGTGTGTGCACCCTGTCATCTCTCTGAATTCAACCTGAATTCAGCCTTGCATTGTCAGCAGAGCCGCATATTTTGTCTGTTTCTGTTTTTTTTTATACAAGTCATCTGGATCTAAGTTCTACGTTGTAGCTGCAGGTAATCCAAACACAGAGCAAGAGATTAATGTCTCTGCTCAGTGGCAGTTTTTAGTTTTGTCAACAATGTCACTCAGCAAATGTCCACCTGAGCTGCAGGCTGTTCAACCGCTGCTCGTGTTATATAAGCCGTTGAAGAAGAATGCACTGCAGCCCCAGTTTCACAGTACATCCAACTTTCCTTTTATTTCATCAGATCTTTTAAACTTGCTTGAAAACCCTCCACCATTTTCAACGTATCTAGCTGAACATAGTTAAAGGATCACTAATAATTAATGGTCGATTGTCTGAATTGTGGCCTACGCTTCATCACGGCCCAAAATGCCTTTTCCAAGTAAGAGATTGAAATCAATAATCTCTGCTTTCTTTTTTTGTTTCTCTATTGATCAGAATGTCAGTCAACCTACTTTCTGCTTTTTCACTTTCACTGAACCCTGATTTTATTCCCTAGTTCATTTTTTTGCATCTTTTAATGCTTTTCCAGCTATTTACTATGGAGGATAAAAAGTGCCAAAATTAAATAAATAAATACAGCATTAAATAAATAATTAAATGTGTAATTCATGAAATAAATAAGGAATTAAATATATAAATGTGTCATGTGACCAATCAGGTGTTATCTAACACCTGATTGGTCACA